CAACTGCCCAGGGCAGTTCTGCTCATCTGTATCTCAGATGTCTAAAGATGTCTCAGTGTGGCACAGGGTGACCCTCTGGGTGCATGATGGACTGTGAGATGTCATTAGGTTTAGGTAGGTAGGTTTTTACTAAAAGGTAAAGGTGTACACTAAAGGTGTACAATTTGCCTACAAATTAGGCTATAGTGCTGCATGAACATCCAGCAGTGCCCACACTGCAGCGGGACAGAGTGTGAGACCCTGTGGGCTGAGCAGGGACTGAGGGGAAGGAGGCAGTGGGGCCTCCCTGCGGCTGTCACGARGCTCTAGGTGCAAGAAACCAACAACAAACAAGGTCTGGCTACGATTTAGGGCTTTTTTTATTTTTTTCTCCTGGGTCCTAAAGCTTTGTACTTGGCTCAAAATCTGAAGAACAGGAGTTGACATCCTCCAGGAAAAAAATCTGCTGTGGTTATTTGGGACCATAAGCTTTGAAACCCAGAAAGTAATTGAAATGAAATTGAACTGCGTATATTTCTTTATTTCCTGCATTTTTCTATCCAAGCACATGATTTCTCAAAGCTGACTCATGCATGCTTGATAAGCCAGGACTGTCAGCATTTCCTTCCCATGGCTCGCAGGGGCCATTTTTTTGTTTCTACTAAAACAGCGTAATTGGCCCCAGGAAGCTTGAAGACAGCTGAGCTGTGACCCTACAAGGCGATTGCCTGGCCCTGACTCAGGCAGGACAGGCAGAGGCGAGAATGACACTGCTCTTTCACAATCCCAGCATCATTCTGGTGCCTGGGACCACTGGTAGCTCCAGCACATGTCACCCCAACTTGCTGGTTGGGGTTGGCCTGGCCAGGGTGGACAGCAGTCCGTGACAGCCATGGCAGGGCAGGAGGGTTGAGCAAATGAAGAGGGAGTGCTCCCTGATTAGTCATCACTTTGAGCTCAGTGCTGCCTAACGCTCTCCAGCAGTTTCGTTTCCTTCTCTCCATTTACTTTCTTACTTTTACTTTCTGGTTTCTATCCTAACTGGATTTGTAAGGCAGCTGTTTTACTGGCATCTTACTTCAGACAGACAGAGGCACAATAGTTGGACTTTTTTTTTTTTTTCAAGGAAAACACTATGATTATGATTACAGATTCCTATGATTATGGATTCCTATAATTATGGAACAAAACTCATCTTACGGTTCATACTTAGCTTTTAACGCAAGCAGATACTGAAAGAAAACAAAGCAAATAAAAATATCCAAAGCCTCTTTGTCTAATGATTTCATGACCCCATGATTTCCCTGGAGCTGGCTCCTTTCTTGGCTATTTAACATTTTTAAAGGCACACACGGTTACTGATCTTGCTTTCTAAAAGCTGCAGGGACAACCCCAGGCACCAGAGTTGCCTGTTGGTACGAGTGTGTTGTGCCTACTTGCTGCACACAGAACATGGCACTTTGGCCCATATGGCTTCTTGCTTCATGAAGAGAGTGTCATTGCACTGTCCCTGAGCCCCTCTCTGCAGCCAGGGTCCTCTGTAGACCTGGCCTTCAAAGGTAAAGCAGGACACGGGGTCAGGTCCCACCAAAGGTCTACACAAAACATGTGACAAGTGCAATGGCCCTGGGCCAGAAGTCTCAGTCATTTCCAAAGTTCCTCATGTTGCCTAAGCTGTTTCCTTAAAAGTTAAAGCAGGCACCTGCCTTGCACTCCTGGGTTTTCATCCGCTCTGCTGACTCCCGTTTCTTCACTTCTTCCACTTCCTTGGCAAGATTCTCCAGGGATTTCTGGAGTTTGGCCTGGAAAGCAGTAAACAGGGTCGCTGTCCTGCCGGGCGATGCCTCCGGGGCTGGCAGGGCACCCAGCAGCTGCGCTGGTCACTCCCGCCGCAGCTTTAACCCTCGCCGCACTGCCCGGCTCCTCTGTGCTTCCTCGCTCTGTGTTTGGGGCGTGAGGTGGCACCCGGCACCCTGTGCTGCTGGGATGCGGGGCAGCTGCCACGCGCAGGACAGCGCCCCAGCACTGCCCTGTGTCCTGCCTGGAGCACCCCAGCACTGTCCTGGTGGCACCCGGCACCCTGTGCTGCTGGGATGCGGGGCAGCTGCCACGCGCAGGACAGCGCCCCAGCACTGCCCTGTGTCCTGCCTGGAGCACCCCAGCACTGTCCTGTGTCCTGCCCGGGGCACCCCAGCGCTGTCCTGCCCTCCTGCCCAGGGCGCCCCAGCACTGTCCTGTGTCCTGCCCAGGGCGCCCCAGAACTGTCCTGTGTCCTGCCCGGGGCACCCCAGTGCTGTCCTGTGTCCTGCCCGGGGCACCCCAGTGCTGTCCTACCCTCCTGCCCAGGGCGCCCCAGCGCTGCCACCCGCGCACTGGACACAGCGGGCAGTGCTGGCTGCTGCCATGGCATCAAGTAGCCCAGGACCTGCTGGGGCCCACGACCTGCACCCCGACGCCCAGCTCGCTGAGCACTGCAGAGCACCCTGAGGCGCTGCAGGTGCTGTCGCCATAGGGCCAGCCCCACACAAGGGCCGAGCAGGCGCGAGGCCCAGCCTCCTCTGCACGTGGCAACGCCGCGTCCCCAGGGCCTCCCCTACCTTGTAGACGTGCGCGGCCTCCTCGATGGGGCAGACGGTGTGCGGGCGGTGCTGCAGGGCCTCCCTGCACACCACGCAGATGGCCTCCCCGTCCTCCTCGCAGAAGAGCTTGAGGCGCTCGTGGTGCGCGGCGCAGAGCGGGGCGCCCGCGGGCACGCCGGCCCGCAGCCCCAGCTGCCGCACGCTCTCCACCATGTTGGCCAGCTGCCGGTTGGGGCGCAAGTTGCCGCGGTGGCACGTGGCCCGGCACTGCGGGCACGCGAAGGGGCCGCCCGCCCAGAGCCCCTTCTCCTGGCAGTGCTTGGCGATGCAGCCGCGGCAGAAGTTGTGCCCGCAGTCGACGCTCACCGGCTCGCTCATGTACTCCAGGCAGATGGAACAAATGGCTTCCTCGTGCAGGCGCTCCAGGGGGCCGGCCATGGCCATGGCAGCACGGCAAGGGAGCCCTGCACGGCTCGGCCAGGTCCGTGGCCCGGCGCCCTGCGAGCGGCAGGCGGGGCTATGGTAATGTCCCAGAAAGCCATGGCCTCCGGACAGGACACGCCTCGGGAGCTGCGGCGCCAGCTCCAGCGCTTCCTCAGAGGCAGCGGCCTCTCGCCAGCTTACACGAGCGCTGAGCGTCGGGAGGCTCCGCGGCTCCAGGAGGTTCTGCGGCTCTAGGAGGCTTCATGGCTCGGGAGGCTCTGCAGCTCAAGAGGTTCCGCGGCTCGAGAGGTTCCGCGGCTCGAGAGGTTCCGCGGCTCCAGGTGGCTCCACGGCTCGGGAGACTCTGCAGCTCCGGGAGGCTCCAGGGCTCAGGGAGGAGCGAGGAGCACAGAGGGTCTCCCAGCCAGCATTAAAGGCAGGCGCATCCCTATTACCAACCACATCAAGGGGAAACAAAGCCCTGCGGGAGGAAATAGAGGCCAAGTTAGCGAGTGTCTGAAATAATCACAGCCCCAGGCACCTGGAAAATTAGGTGAGACACGGGCATCCCTGCAGCCTCTGACCGGGGAGGGCTGCAGCAAGGTGACCACGGAGCAGCACACACGGACCCTGCTGCAATTACATCAGCCACGGGGGCCCAAGCATTTCTGCTATGGTTTCTTGTCACAGTTTGTTCCAAAGCCCGTTTCAAGCTCAGTGCCTGAGCCTAACCAAACTGTGCAACCACTCTACGTTATGGGAACTGCACGACTTGCATGCTGCAAGCTGAGTTATTTAAATACAAAGTGCTAATGCTGAGCACACCAAGTCACGACTCACGCAGGTCTGCAAGCTTTAAGACAACCCTCATGAGACCTGTCCAAAAAAGGAAGGAGACAAAAGGATCTGGCAAGGATCTCTGCTGGCAAAGGCCAGAGACTAATATCCTTTCATCCTGATGGCCTGGGATGAGCGAGGCCCCTCCCCCGAGCCCTACATTTCACCCCATYGCCCTTTCTCTGCCTTGGCCACAGAGAGTGCAGGTTGACTCAGCCAGAAACACCCAAGGAGCCCCCCAAAAGGTGTCACAGAATCATTGAATCCTAGAAGCTTTAGGGTTGGAAGGGACATTTAGATATCATGGATCCAGATGGGCTCTGTGGGATCAACCCCTGCACCCGGGGACCTCCCCGAGCAAGAGCGGCACCCAGTAGCATCCCTGGGAGTGGGGACAGGGACCCCGACAGGACCCGCAGCTGCGGGGCCTGCAGGTGCTCTGGGGAGAGATGCCTTGATGTGAGTCTGGAGGTGGAAACAGCCCCAGGAGCTGCATCTCCTGCAAGGCTGCCCTTGCAGCCCCATCTAGCGTCGTCCTGAGCTCAGTGTGGCACAGGCCGAGCGGGGATGCCTGGTTGCAGGAGGGACTGYRGGCCAGGACAAAGAATTCAGGTATGCCGAGGGAAAGGCAGCCCAGGATTGCTGGGCTCAGCTCTCCCAGGTCACAGGCTCCTAAATGTCAAGCTCGAATGTACAGATGTGGCCCCCACTGCTCAGAGAAAGGCCTGAGCAGCCACACTGCTAACGGACTGCCAAAGAGCAGCCAAAACCAASACCTCTCTCCYCACCCAGAGCTGCTCTAGCYGAGGCCACGCACCCGGAGCCACCTTGCAGCTCAGCATCCACGTGGGCACAGGTGGCCACAGGTCCCTGAGCCACACGAGTCCTTAAAGCGTGAGCAGAATGCAGTGGAGGTAAAGCATCCTGAGACCCTGAGGAAAAGATACTCTTGTTTTTCTTATTTTTATTTTTATTACACAAAAATAAATACAATCAGTACAAATAAAATTAAAAGCCTGAGCAAAAAAAGACRAATAAATAAAAATTCCTTTTTATATACTTAAATAAAAATAAGCTACATGGTTACAGTCTGTTAAAATTCACAGCCTATGAGAATCCATGGACACATTCAGGAGGGATTTGTGAGAGCAGACTGTCTTGAGCAGATGATGCTTGCAGTGGCTATAGTGTTATCTCCCGCTTGCCTGCCTGGTCGTCCAGGTGTTTCATGATACGCTGGACCCATTTATCTTCAGGGTTGACACACAACAAGATATCATTCCTTGTGGTAAATCTGCAGGAGAAAAGAAAAGAAAATCCCATTAAAAGAGCAGGAGAGAAGAAGAGGCCGTTCCCAAAGGAYGACTATTACAGGTGGGAAGGGTTAGAGCAAAGCACAGTGCCGAGCGCCTGCATGCTGCTGCTGCCAGTGGTTGCCCCTGCACCAGGCACCTCTGGAGCTGCCAGAGAGCCCCAGGGAAACACGGGGGGACGGTCACAATGTCATTGCCAGCCTCCCGTTTCCTTGGGGCAGAGAGCCCGCTTCATCCCCAACATCCTGCTCTGGACGGGACACCGTCCTGCGTGTGACCCCCTGGCTGGCAGGCCTCACAGCAGATCCCTTGACCCTCATCTCGTAGGGGCCATTCCCGACGGCTCTCCGAGACCTGCAAGTTGCCTCTGAGAGACTCCAGAGCAGTCTCTTAACACGGGTGCCCAACATGCCACCGCTGTCGGTCAGCAGGATGGGCTGAGCTCCAGGGTTCTGTGGGGCTGCCACCTCTCTGGAGGGCACGTGGCCAGGGCTCGAGCAGCAGATCTACTCACATCACGCCTGGTTGGGGGCAGTGGCTCTGCGTGGGCTCGTACGCCTTCACACGGCTCAGGGGAATCTCTCTGCTTATGTATCGCAGGCAGCAGGGACCAGAAACGTGCACAGCATCTGGAAGAGGAGAGACGTGCGCTGAGGTAACCACATGTAGGGAAACACCAGCAGGGAGAAGCAGGTTGGAGGACAACGCGGCTCTTGCTGGAGGAAACACTGCTCCTGTTATCCTCTCCCACCACAGTCAGAAGAGGGCCTCTCCCACCACACCTTCCAGAAGAAGGCCAGAGCAGCAGGATGTGCTTGTCCTTTGCTGCGGCAGATGCTCCGAAGGAAGAGATGCCGAGCACGACTAGACCTTATAGGGAGGTGATGAAGAGAAGAGAACCCTCCAAGAGGAGAGTTTGGACTTACTTGGTGAAGAGGAGACCTGGTAGCAGAAGGCAGCGACAGAGAGCACAGCAAGGGCAGCTGCAAAGGCCTTCATGGTGCTGCTGGGAGGAGGAAGCRGTGGGAGTAGGTGTAGAGCAGGGACTGCTGCACGGGCCCTTGCTGTGCCTCACGCTGCAGTGCTGGGCTCTGCTCTCTTTTATAGAGGGACAGAGCTGAAAAAGCTGAGGACCAGCCAGAAATATTTCTGAAAATCCGCAATGACACAATGGAAGAAGTGCTGTGTCAAGCGTGTGAGCCCAGCACGCTGCGTGGCACAGGGAAGTGCCCAGAAACCCAACAAGCAGCAATGCCCTGATACCGCTGGTATGAGCTAATGATCACAGACTCTGAAATGATAAAGAGGATATGACCCATGGCCCTTTCCTTCCCCATTACCAAAGGGGCTCTATGAAAAGGATGAAAGCAATGGTTCACAATATTAATAGCTGGACCTATTACTTGGAAGTGACCTGACAGTTAAGAATAGGAAATGAGCATATCTGCCACACACAATTATTTCCTAGAATGTTATCAGCATCACAGAGAAAACTGGACCAATGCACTTCCTTCACCACAGATTTACCAGGGAGAGTCCCTGTGTGAGCAGTCCTCCCTGGCAGCCCGCTGCAGTGGGTCAGCAAAGCTCCCCTCAGGCGGGTGCTTCCCAAAAAAGGTTTCTCCAAGAGATCCCCAAATGCCACCACCAGGGGCAGAGCAGAGGGCAGAGCATGATGCCAGCCTCGGTCTGGCCTCCTCTCTTTGCCTGTCCTGTTACTGCATTGCTGTCCCCCAACTACAGGGATATCTGTCCTGTTGTTGCATTGCTGTCCCCTAGGTGCAAGTGACAGGTGAGCTAGCAGGATGTTACCAAGGAACACAAGGCGCAGCCATTAGTCGTTTCTAAGAGCTTTAAAAGCTCATAACCTCACCAGTTCTAGAAGTTTGGCCTACATAACTCTCTGGTTCTGGCAATGCAGAGTCAACACCCTCTTGGCTGTGCTCTGCCATTCTCCCAGCACGGGAGCTTAGCTCCTACGTTGCAGGAGAGCGGCGGTGTCACTGCGCTGCCCAGGAATTTCTGTTGGACATGCTGCCTCTGCAGAGAACGGCTGTGTTTGTGGCGCTGGCGAGCGCGCCCGCAGCAGGGCCATCGCGGCCTGGGGGCAAGGCCGCCGGAGCAGGCCCCTCTCATGGCGCTGCTCTGGAGGAAGCGTCTCAGCACCTTGATGGAGCAGGCGGTATTGCAGACACACTGACCAAAGCACTTGCTGCTCTTCCAGGAACCTGAGGGGTAAGAACGCAAAGGAAATGAGACAGTGCAACGGATGCCATGGCCCAGACTTCCACATGCTCCCAAGTGTGGCAGGGCTCCRTAACAGCCCACCAGGTTTCTGTATGCTGGTTTCTCTGAAAAGCTGAGGCAGACACTGAAGCTGTGGCCTAGATCGCAATACAGCAGTTCTTTTCCTGCAGAGCAGCTTCTTTCACTAGCGGAGTTCTTCTAAGCATGGCTGACCCAAGCCAGGGGGAAGCCATGAGCGGGTGGTGCTGCACAGAGGCGGGAGGCCCACGCAAGCCAGAAGCGCGGGGCGAGGAGGAGGCCGCGGCTCGGCCATGGCCCGCATTGCCCTGCAGCCGCTGCCCCAGC